TATTTGTTTAACCAACTGTACAAATGTATATTTATCTTCTTTATTAGCGAAACGAATAGGAATGCAGAAAAGGAAAAAGACAAAGACAAAGACAAAGACAGTGAAATAAATAAATAAATAAATAAATAATTTATTTTTCTTTTATTTGTTTAACCAACTGTACAAAAGTATATTTATCTTCTTTATTGGCGAAACGAATCGGGAAAAAGAGAAAGACAAAGACAAAGACAAAGACAGTGAAATAAATAAATAAATAAATAAATAAACAAACAAATAAATATATTATTTTTCTTTGATTTGTTTAACCAACTGTACAAAAGTATATTTATCTTCTTTATTAGCGAAACGAATAGGAATGCAGAAAAGCAAAAATACAAAGACAAAGACAAAGACAGCTACATAAATAAATAAATAAATATATTTATTTATTTATTTATTTATTTATTATTTTTCTTTTATTTGTTTAACTAGCTGTACAAAAGTATATTTATCTTCTTTATTAGCGAACCGAATAGGAATGCAGTTTCCTGATTCTAATAAATGTAAAGCACAACAATTTTCATCATCTATTAAATTAGCTTTTGTTTCTACGCGACGCAGCTGCTCAGGAGAATGTAATAAAGATTTTACATCACTCAAAGGGATTACACGCACCTGAACACAAATAAAAATAAATAAATAAATAAATATAAATAAATAAAAAAAAAAGAAAAAAAAAGAAAAAAAAATAAAAAAAAATGCATTTTTTTTGGTGAAATACACAAAGCAAGAGAATGTAATAAAGATTTTACATCACTCAAAGAGATTACACGCACCTGAACACAAATACAAAAATAAATAAATAAATATAAATATATAAATACATAAAAAAAAACAAAAAAAAATTAATTTATAGAAAAAAAAAACTAAAAAAAATGCATTTTTAGGTAAAAATCAACAGGAGAATGTAATAAAGATTTTACATCACTCAAAGGGATTACACGCACCTGAAAACAAATAAATAAATAAATATAAATAAATAAATAATATAAATATATAAATAAATAAAAATAAATTTATTAATATTAGTTTATAGAAAAAAAAAACCAAAAAAAAAATGCATTTTTAGGTAAAAATAAGCACGGGAATGTAATAAAGATTTTACATCGCACATGAACACAAATAAAAATAAATAAATAAATAAACAAAATAAAAATAAATAAATAAATAAATAAATAAAAATAAATAAATAAATAAATAAATAAAAATAAATTAATTAAAATTAATTAACAGAAAAAAAACTAAAAATATATTTTTTTGTATTTTTTTCGTTTTATGTTATACAGACTCATCAACAAAGATTTCAGGGAGCTTAGAGGGATTACATAAATAAATAAATAAATAAATAAATAAATAAATAAATAAATAAATATAAATAAATAAATACAAACAAATATAAATAAACTTATAATTAAATAAACAAAAATAAATAAAGAAATAGAAAATTAATTAAACAGAGGGTTATATATATATATATATATATATATATATATATATATATATATATATATATATATATATATATAT